AAAGCCAACTACATGTCACTGATGAGCATTTGGAATTTTACTACTGTGACTGAGAAACTGAAACAGGCACATTTAGGTAGTGGGTACTGTATTGAGTATCACAACTCCCTATGTAATCACATCACCTCTCATGGCCTCAAACACCATCTATACACTAGTGGCCCAGACCTTACATTCTGAGCTTCCAATACACACATTCCACTGACAACTGATCATCTGCACTCAAACGTCTCAAAGAAATCCAAAGCTCAACACAGCTGAAACTGAAGTCATGACCCTCGCACAAAGGAAAACACTTTTTTCCTGCAGTTATGCAAATGGTACCACCATCCACATTCATGTCACAGAGACTCACCCTTGACATTTCTCTCATCCCTTACATCCAAACCAATTCCTATTAATTATACCTCCAAATACATGAAGCAAATCTCTCTGCTGATGTCAATTTCTACTTCCGTCAGAGTTTCTAACTTATACTAGGAAAACAGCTTCCTCTAGATAGTCTCTCTGCTTATATGCAGATTTTGATTGTATCGAAGAAAATCCTTCCTATTCTTTACTTTTTCAAATCTAGAAATCCAGATTCAATATCATGGCTTACAAAATTCTGCCAGATGTGACCCTAGCCTGTGTTTCCTTGGTGCCCAAGCCCTGTTTCAGGAACTCTACCTTTTCTTTCATTTCAAAGAAACTGTCAAGATACTTCACACCTTCAGGACTTACAGTTCCCTTTATCTGGATTATTCTCTCCTTCACCTGTCTCTTACTTAAGTCCACCAGTCTCAGTTCAAATGTCACTTATTCAAAATAGTCTTCCATGATCACTCTGCCTAATTTACTCACCACTCTTAGAAATTCTTTCCACTAGGCCAACATGGAGGCACAGCAAACTAACCCCACCTGTGGCACTGGTATCCCATATGGGCACCAGTTTGATTCCCAGCTGCTCCACTTCCAATCCCACTCCCTGCTTATGACCTGAGAAAGCAATGGAGAATAGTCCACATCCTTGGAACCCTGCACAAATGTGGGAGACCTGGAAGAAGCTCCTGGCTTCTGATTTTTAACTGGCCCAGCTCTGGACATTGTGGCCATTTACGGAGTCAACCAGCAGACAGAGATCTGCTTTCCATGAAAGGTAGAGTTAGAGGGAGGGAAGAAGGGAGGGAGAAGGAGAGAGGAAGAGAAAAAGGAAGGGAGGCTGGAAGGGAGGGAGAGAGAGAAAGATTGATTCTCCATTTGCTGGTTCATTCCCCAAATGGCTACAACAACCAGAGCTGAGTCAATCCAAGTCCAATCCAGGAGCCTCTCTGGGTCTCCCACATGAGGACAGGGTCCCAAGGCTTTGGGCCATCCTCTGCTGCTTTCCCAGGCCACAAGCAGGGAGCTGGATGGGAAGTGGAGTAGCCAGGACACAAACCGGCACTCATATGAGATGCCAGCACTTGCAGGCTGAGGATCAGCCAGTTGTGCCATGACACCTGCCCCTAAAATAAATGAATCTTTAAAAAAGAGAAATGCTTTGTACTTCCTGATAGCACCTAGAAAAACTGTACCTTGTCAAAGTCTTTGTCCTGCATTAAAATGAATCACACAACACTATTCTGCTTATGCCATGTCCTTAGAGCAAAGCAGGGTGCCTGGCACATAAAAGGCATTCCTAGTTTTACAAAATGAATCAGTGGGTTATAGCCCTCTATGTGACACTAGTATCAAACAGCACAGAAATAATACTCAAAACAACAACAACCTTACCTAGACTACTTTCTGTTGACTCTGCAGCACTAATTGCCATGCCCTGCAAACAGACAGCACTTACCAAATATTTGTTGAACAATGAATTAGGGAGAGTGTAATATCAGGAAATGAGTACCACATAGGCTATCACTAGGTCAAATAAGGAAGATATAACCATCTCCATAGATATTAAAAAAAAAACAGTTGATAAAATTCAGTATACATTCATAAGCATACACAAGCTTGACATAAACACAGCTCATTCATATATTTTTAAAATAACAATCCATTAAACCAATAGATAATGATATTCTTAAACAGCAAAACACCACTTAAAGAGTTAAATAAGATCATCACCATTATTCAACATTTGTTCTAAAATTCTCATTGGTGCGGTAGGATGGGAAGCAAAGCCAACAGTTACAGCTACCAAAAAGGAGACAGCATGACTATCTGAAGATGATTAAGGCCATTACAAAAAAACAGCAAATAATAATGAAAATAAATTTCAGTGAAGTTGTTGAATAAAATAAACAAAAGCTGTTCTGTATACTAACAACACATGACTAGAAGTTAACAGAAAATAAGTTCCACACTAAATACAGCAAATAAATGGAATCCACCACAATAAATTTTACCTACAAAAAGTGACAAGACTACGAATCTTAGAGACATAAAAAGACAATGTGAATAAATACAAGAAATACACCATGTTCCTTGGCAGTGTCTTAATTTTGTCAAGAAGCTTATCTAATTAGAATTTAACACATAACTATGGTGAAATAGTGGTAATTAAAGATTGTGTTCTCAAATAATTTTAAATGACATGAGAAAATGTCACGATGTAACGTTAAATAGAAATGTAAGACAAAAACTAATGAGGCAGCAGTTGTTTGGCATAGCAGTTAGGATGCTGTTTGGGATGCCCACATCACATATTCCAGTACTTAGGTTCTGGTCCTGTCTCTGTCCTGATTCTTGCTTTCTGTTAATGTGCACTCTTGGAAGCAATGTGTGATGTCCCAAGTCCTTGGGCTCCTGCCCACTCACACAGGAAATCCAGACGGAGTTCCTAGCGCCTGGCTTTGGCTTGTCCCAGCAGCAATTGGCAGGGCTGCTGTGTCTCTCTGTGTGCCTGTCACACCCCACCCACTCAAAACACACACACCTCTGCCTTTCAAATAATAAATTAATTTTAATGAAGACATTTTAAAACCCTACATATGAGGAATCCAATTATGTCAAAATTTTTTTTTCAAAGACTAGAGGAAAATTCAACAAAATGGTAACTACAGTGGTAATCTCTAGATTACAAAAGAAAAAATTGAATTCTATTTTTTTGCTTATTTCTTTAGGATTTATTTATTTTTATTGGAAAGGCAGATTTGAGAGAAGGAGAGAAAGATCTTTCATTCACTGGTTCACTCCCCACGTAGCCACAACAGTCAGAGCTGAGCCGATCCAAAGCCAGGAGCTAGGAGCTTCCTCAAGTTTCCCATGTGGGTGCAGGGTCCCAAGGCTTTGGGCCATCCTTTGCTCCCCTTCCTAGCTACAAGCAGGGATCTGGAAGTGATGTGAGCAGCCAGAATATGAACAGGCACTCATATGGGATGCTGACACCCGTAGGAAGAAGATTAACCAATTGAGCCATTGTGCTGGGCCCAAATTTGATACTTTAAACTTGTCTGAACATAAGACTTATACATAATAAAGATGTATTATCTCTACAATCAGAAAAGATAAACCTAGATGTATTTAGTACCAAAATACAAGTATACTTAGTACCAACATACACTAAAAAGCTAGGTGGGCCTGACAAATGCAGGGTCTTCCTCATCCAAACTATGTGCTCTAAAGGCATATATATGAAGGCCAAGGTAAAATCTGATTGACCAAGGAACAGAAATAACAACAGATTTTATTCAAGTGGTCACTTCCCTATTTTTTCCCTATGATCCAAGGCTTGAACTCTGCACATAGCAACATATGGCAATATCTATGTAGTGGGGGTTATAACAACATCAATACTGTGAACTAGGTGTTTACAAGAGAAAAAGCACAGCTCAATTTAATCTCTCAGCTTTCAACCAAAAATCTTTCCAGTCCCCCAAAAATAAGACGTTTCTGTATCTTATTGCAGCAGCAATGTCAGTTTCTGCAGAAATGCTCGCATGCTGCTTTTTTGTATGTTTTCTTTTCTTTTCTTTTTTTTTACTAAGCACAATAAAATATAGACATTATTCTCTGCTTTGGTTAGTTGTTGAGTTTACTTAGATTTCCAGCATCAACTTTTAAGACTTTCAAAATCCATGAGCGTGGAGAGGAAAAAAAAAAAAAAACTCAAAGTAGAAAAAGCCTACGTAAACCACTTGGCGCAAATCAAAGTGCCAACGGCAGCAACTGTGTTTAAACAAAATCACGTATAACCCATAGCTCCAAGGTAAGTGCCAAGTTCCACTCATCTGAGGACTCAATCAGGAGATAAGGCGACCTGTCTGTTCTAGATTCATGTGGTCAGATGCTCTTTTCCATAGCAACCACACAGCAGTCACGTAGCAGTCCAGTCCCCATTTTTCCTCCTCATAACACAGTATAATCAGATGATAAACAAAGAACAGCTTGCACAGAAAGTCCATGACAATTTGCCTCAAACAGATAAAAATAAAAGAACTGAATCAGTGAGAAGGAAGACTATGTTCTTGCTGAGAAAAAGGATGCCTTGAAGGGGATACAGCTTAAGTAAAACACCAAAAGTAGTTTAACATGGAGAAGGAATACCTAGACGGGCAATTTAAGGAACTGTGCAGTCTCCCCAAATAATAAAACAAATAAAGGAGAACACCATGGATTAACACACAAAAATTAAAAAGTAGAGAATAAAGCTTATAACAATGTTCAAAGAAACCACTCATATCCATCATGTGCCTTAGACATATTACTATTACCCTTCCTAAATGACCAAGTCCATATCAATGATTTCAGTAATAACAGTATTTTAAGCTCAGCATTAGAGCACCAGGTCATATTGTTAATACACATAAAGATTCTTACCAGTTACCTGCTTTTTCTTAGGTATGGCTCAACATGTCAACTGTTTTGACAATGCTGATTTGTATGGCTCTTTTCAGGGAAAAAAAAAAAAAAAGAGAGAGACTACAGAATAAGAGGGCAAAAGAAAAGCTCTGCCCCAAAATGTGTCTTAAATCTATAGCGTATTCAAGTAAATACTTGCTAAGTGAAAGGCAACTTGGAGAGGTACTCACTGTTTGCAGCTATGTCAATCAAAAGAGTTTCTTCGGCTTCTGAAGAAGTGAGAAAGAGAACCAATCAGGGGGGTCGGGGCAAAGCACATTCTTTCCAAGCAAAACAAGTATAAGCTTAACTGAGAAATTGTTTTTCCAGGTCACTACCACTAGGTCTCAGAACACATTTATGTATGCTTTGTAGAAGTGGCCATTTCTTTTATCAGTTAAGATGTCTACACCCCTCACGGGCACGCCTGGTTTAATTTCCTACTCTGGCTACTGACTCCAGCAGCCTGCCAATGAAGATCTTGGGAGGTGACAGTGACAGCTCAAATGATTAGGTTCCTGACACTGACATGAGAAGTCCGGATGGCATTCCCAGCTCCTGTCTCCGATTCCAGCCAGCTCTGGCCTCTGCAGGGATCTGGGGAGTCAATCCACGGATGGTAGCTCACTCTGTCTCTCTGAATACAACCCTTCAGCACATTTTGAAAAAGCATACATCATATCAATGCTAGGTTAGCAATGCCATCTTTTTTTTACATAAAGAATAATAAATGTTATTTCATTCTATATGCAGGGATAAACTAAAATGTATATGGTATTATACAATGCAAGGATGATCAAAGTGTGGAAAACACATAAAACTAGCTAAGGAATGAAAGCTAGTACCTTGAACACATCTGAAGTGGCTATTTATAGGAATGATATCTTGAACATGCTGTTCCTTCTCATACAACTGGATTATTAACCTAGGAAACAGAAGAACGTATCACTGATTGGTTACTGAAAAACAAAATATTTCACAGAAACACAACCCAAACCAGAAAGACTTAGCTACCTCGTTACATTAATTTATCCTGTCTGTATCTGTATTTATTAAACTTCTTGCATCTAATACCCCGAATTTGAGCCTGACAGATAGATACTGCTCTACTTCTAAAAGGATATTGATAGTAAGCAACACATGAGGAACATGTCTCTAGTTTATGTCCTAAAACCAGCTTACAATCATAACTTTAATGTATGCACATCCTATTAACAGCTAAACATAAACTCCATGAGAAAAGAAACTATAATTCTGTCTTTATAACACCATTCCTAAAACCAAGCACAGTGGTTGGGCACATGGTACTCATGTGTATGAAGTCAATCAAAGAATTATAAAATTCAGACATCAGTGTTCTACTTATATTTCCATGAGTTTTATCAAACATAGTCTATCTCCTCAAACAGGCACACAGGCTCATGAAGGAATGAGAGAGGGTACCCAGCCACCTGGATTAGTCAAAAAATAACCCTGCTGACCAACAAGGCAGCACATAGCACCATCAGATCGCCTTTACACCCTTTCTGTCCTCTGGTCTCCAATTTCATGCTAATATTTCTACATGACTGAACATGGCTTCCAAGTATGAAATGCAAGACTTCTAAATCCATATGTATTCCTGAATTATTGTCTCATTCATTACTTAACCACAGTGACCCAGAACCAAGGCATAACACACCAGTAAGTAAACATTCTCAACATCAACTAGTTTCCCCAAAGTCAATGACTCTTCAAGTGGTTCCTTTTCCCAGCAATATTATTTTCTTTCCAAGAGCTGGATCAAATACTGCATTCTCTGTGAAGCTTTCCTCTATCACCCCCAGTAGAACCAGAAGCTCCATTGCTTTGCTTACCCGTCTAATAAAACATAAACTCTATTAATAGTTCCCCTCACCGATTTGAGCTCCTAGAAAGCAAAGACTCTATCATATTGTTTTGCCTAACAAATGTTCAGTAAATACTGGAGGAATAAGGGAACTAGCTTAATTAAACTATGAGTAGTGGCAAGAATTTCTAAATATCAGCTTATGTTAAAGTATATTTTCTTTTAATTTTTTAAAAAATGTATTTACTTTCATTTTATTTGCAAGGCAGGGAGACAGAGAGTGCGCCCTTCTATTTGCTTATTCACTCCCCAAATGCCTGCAACGTCAAGAGCTGGGCCAGTTGAAGGTAGGATACTGGAAACCAAACCTAGGTTTTCTATGTGGGTGGCAGTGACCCATACTTAAACTCCCCGGTACGTATCTCTAGGAAGTTAGATAGGAAAGTGCAGTAGCTGAGACTTGAACAAAGAACAATGATATGGGATGCAACTGTCCCAAGTGGTAGTCCCAAATGCCCACCCCATCCATCCAACTTCTGATGCTAAAAATGTCATTGCTTCCAAGTGTCTGATTTCATGTTGTTGTCTTTTTAGATGGGCTGTTTTTCTCTTTTTGGATATTCTTCAAATCAAGCTTGGAAAAGGATAAGGAGTAGCGAGTTACTGCTTACAGAAGAACTAAGGGAAATAAAGTATCAATGTTGTTCCTGCTCTAATCCCACTTGCCTTATTTGAAGTGGTATGCATTTTAAGTTGATTATAGGGATGTGGGGCCAGACCCCTTTCAACCTGAAAAGCTCAGGAGTTGTCCAAACACTCAGAAGCTACACAAAGGGTCAAGAAGGAAGAGCTTACTTTAAGGAAAATGAAAACAAACTGCCAGAATCTTGAAATCTGTGGAACAAAAATTGTGCTGAATGTTAGCAGTAAAGTTTTGATTGTATTGTGTAAGAATACTTCAAAAAGTTCACAGAAAAATGGAATGAAGCATTCACTGATGCAAAAAAGTGAAATCCACACATTTTTGTTTCATGTTTCCACAAGCTTTTTGAAGTTCCCTCATATAGATGTCTCCAGGAAATGATTTTTTAAAAATTCCCAAAGCAATTCTGAGATATGATATATAGCTTCAGATCTGAGTTATGGTATTTCTTAACTGTGCCTCAATTTCTGTATCTATGAAAGCTGAATGATCATGATAACTCTCACACAAGAATTAAATGAACTAATTAATGCAAAGTACTTATTGTTACTATACCCCCATAACTTATATAAAATTGGCAAATAAGAATTTGATTTCTCTGCAAAAAGTCAGAAGAGCTGCTATCACCTAGTTACAAAGTTCCAGTACTGGGGCCAGGGAGATGGCTCTACTGCTTAACCCTCCACCTGCATTCCAAAAGGGTACTGGTTCACGCCCCACTGCTCTGCTTCCCATCCAACTCCTTGCTTGTGGCCTGGGAAAGCAGCAGAGGATAGCCCAAAGCCTTGGGACCCTGAACCCGTATGAGCGATCTAGGAGAGGCTCCTGGCACCTGGCTTTGGAACAGCTCAGCTATGGCTGTTATGGCCATTTCAGGAGTGAACCAGTGGATGGAAGATTTTCCTGTCTTTCCTCTCTCTAAGTCTGCCTTTCCAATGAAAATAAGTGTACATTTTTAAAAAATGTTCTGGTATAAGGGCCAGAAAACATAAGACATCGATCACAAGGCCAACAGCATACTCTTATTCTCCTTATGCACTCAACCAAGAGATGAGGTTCTGGGTTGTGGTCATCTCAACCACACAACTATTGTTAACAATCCTCATAATTTTGTTTTGCACAAAAGGAAACTAAGGCACAAAAATTCACAGGTTTGTTCAAGGACCAGATCTCTCCATTTGATCTTTAGCCTTTGAAAGTTGGTAGTGATATTCTACTTCTCCATTCACTTTTCTGTTGAATTTAGTCTCATCAAACTGGCCTTCCCTGGTTTGATGGCGTGAATTTCCCACATCAATGGGATGGAGCCAGCAGCGCTTAGGGAAAAGCTACTTTACAGAACCTGTTGATGTCCAGGTAGAGTAAAAGCAGGTTATGCCTGTGAGAATGTTTAGTGTACAAATCAGACAACGTGGATGTAGAGAATCCAAGTAGAACTGAGGAGTGGGTGCTCAGCCTAGTAGTTAAGACATGCCCTATCAGAGTTCCTGGGACAGAGTACTGGTTCCATTCCTGATTCCAGCTTCCTGCTCATGACACACACCATTGGAGACTATTGGCAATTCAGGTAGGAGTCCCGGATTGAATTCCCAGCTTCCCCATGGTCCAGCCCAGGCTATTGCAGGCATTTGAGGAATGAAGCAGCAGATAAACACTGTGTTTCTTCTTCTCCTTTTTTATCAGTCTCGTCTGCTGCTCAAATAATAAACCAACACTTAAAAAATTAAAAGAAGAGCAAAAAAATGATTTTTAAGTCAAGATCCAATGTCGGGAGACAACCAGACTCAAATGATCAACAATTTTAAGCCAGAAGGAAACCTGATATCCAAACACCAGTGAAAAACCAAAGGAAGTAGCTTGGGCATCCAGGGGCCTGGGACCTACACTGTGAAATCGTCACCGTGAATACGTTCAGGATGCACCATCAGTGGCACATCAATCAGCTTGGCAGCCATGGTGACAGCTTGTCAAAATAATCTTTTGATCAATCCAGGCAACAGTATTTATTGAGCACTTATGTCCAAGGAAGAGTAGAAAGTAATACACACTGATTTTAAAAATGCCTATTTATTTTTTACCCATTTGATTACTTGTTGTTTCCAACAGTTAATTGCAGCAGTTTCTGGCCTACACCAGCTACAACTGAATTAACGAGTATGCCTTTAAGCAAGTGGAATAATGCGGGGGAGGTTGGGGAGACTGGAGGAACCAGTTGAATGGAGCTAGGAAATGACAAGTCTGTAGCATTAGCAGTGAAGCATTTCTATGGCACTTTTCCTTTTTGTAAGTCACTTTGGCATTTATTATTGCCCCACTTAAAACCTGTATAAGTTACATATTACAAAGGCTGAAAGGTAAGCAATTAATGTTTTTATTCCACTGGTGAGGAAAGTAAGGCCCAGACAGCTTTATTGGCTTGCCCAAGGTTACACAATCCATTCAGTCACTGGCCAGGAACTAAGAACCCAGGCTTCTTGGTTCCCTGCCCATGGAGTGCCTTCACCGAGCCCCACTGCCACGCACAATCTGGTGGCTTGGGAGCTGGAGACTAGGGGCACTGTCACTTCACACCTAGGCCAGAACCTGTTGCCGGAGCGGTGGGAAGGGAGAGGGTGGCTCCTTGCAGTTCAGGGTTGGGAGGCAACAGCAGGCTCCCCTCCGCCGTGGGAATCAGGTGGTTACTTACTCATACTGCCCATTCCTCTGGGCCAGGGTCAGGGCGCAGGGCTCACGGACAGGACCCTTCATCTCCATACCCTCCACAGTATGCGGGCACTAGTCAAGGGTCTCCTGTAGACACGCAGTCGGGGATGGGTGCGTGGTGCAGAGCGCAGGGAGTCTCCGGCCCAGCTGGCCGCCCTCCCCCGTGCCCCCAAGCTTAGCCTCCTGCAGTGGTCCCCTTTCCGCGCTCCTCGCGCAGCCTCTGGGCTCCGAGATCCTCCCCCTCCCCCGCCGAGCTCCGCAGTCCCCCCAGAACCCCAGCCCCCAGCCCCCGCCCTCTGCGGCCTCCCTTCCCCCAACACCCCCTTCTCTCGGCGGATACGGCAAGGGGCTGGGCTCCGACCGGGAGCGGCGGCTCCATCCCGGCGGCCTCTGAGCTCTGTGGGGCTGCGGGACTGCGGACAGATCCGATGACACTGCCTACCGCGTCCTCACACCCACCCGCCTAGGCTAGGCGCTCGGCGCCAGACTCCGGGAGCCAGGAGCCGGGGAGCTGGGAGCCGGGAATGGAGAACCTGATCCAAGAGAGAGCGGCGCCTCGCGCCTCCTCCAGTTTTCCAGGCCGCCGCAGATTCTGCCTCCTGTGGCCAAGCAGCGGAACTGCGGCCACACACCCAACGGACTGGGACCACTCCAGCACCGATTTAATTTTAAATGCATCCTGAGACAGCCGAATTGTGCCTAGATCCTTAAAGATTGCCGCAGAAACAAAATATTGCCATACCTATGAAATAGCTCACCTGTATTGGCCCAATAAAGATCCGCATCCTGCAGTGAAAAAATCTTTGTTAGGGTTACAGTGTAACCCTGTTGGCTAGCCTTCCTCACTTTTCTTCACCCCCCCCCCAACCCCTTTTAAGATTTATCTATTTGAAAGACATAATGACACAGTCACGTGGAGACAGAGATTTTCCGTCTGCTGGTTCATTCTCTAAATGTCTTGAAGTTCAGAGTCCGAAAAACGATCCAACCTCCCACGCAGGTGACAGTGGCCATCGTTCACTACTTCTCCAGGCACGTTAGCAGGGAGCTGGATCAGAGGAGCAGCCGGGCTCTGCACCCGCTGTCCAGGCATTGCAGCTGCTGCTTAACCCAGGACACCACAATATTAGCACCTTGTCTATCTCTTAAATCGGAAACTTCTCCAGAACTGCTGCGAGTGCAAGCGAGATCACACTGGACCCAAGTGTAGGATGTTAGGAGAAGTCTATTTCCCAAGCTTGGTGACAGTAGCTCCAGGAGTCACTGCGCCAAGTTGCCCAAAGTCAGGCGTCTTTAAGCTCTCATCCTCCAATCAGATTGAGAGCCACGCAGTACAAACAAAGTTTCCATGTGCAGGAGGCAGGAAGGCAGTTACCAGAGACTCAAGTTTTCCTGTAGCTATCCTAATCTAGTACACTAGCAGGCAGGAGGGGCCAGGTGCACCAAGCCTGGAGCCTTGGGAGTAATTTGCGTGCTGACAGTTGTCCTGAATGGTGCAGAAGACAGGAGGAGCAGGGTACGCACAAGGAGCCTAGGAAACTGAATCCGTACGTTCAATTAACATGAATGACGTGAGAGGAAGTAGTAATGGTGAGGACATTGACCGTTGTCAATTAGCCTGTCAAGCGGGTGCTAGCCATCAAACGCTGCACCCCATTACAAAACGTAGACTTTTGGTCATCCTTTGAGCCTCCTTCAATTCACTTTTAATCACGCAGTGTCCAAATGTATATATCCCTGGCCAAACCGCTTCCTTCTTGTACTTACTCACTGATAATGAGAACTGTGGCAGGACAACTGACCACCACATCACATAGTCAATGGGGACTAAAAGCTCAAAGCCATCAGCTTGCTTCCCTTTCCTCATATCTGTCTCTAATGAGTCAACAGGCCTGCTTAACATTTTCTTTGGAGTGCTTTTTAAATTCCTTGTTCCCTCTCCAGTCATAGTCATCACTTTACTGTAAGCCTTCATGATATCCTGTTGAGGTTACTGCACTTCCCCCAGACAAATCCTGTTGGCTTTAATCTCTGCTTTGACCTTTTTACTTTCTAGCAGCTATAAAACTATTCTTTGTAACACTATGTCTCCTTTGAACAAAAGATTCAATTATTTATCTGAAAGGCAAAATGACACAGGCAAAGAGTTTGCTTCCATCGGCTGGTTCACTCCCTGAATGACTGGAACAGCTAGATTTGGACCAGGCCAAATTCAGGAACCAGGAACTCTGTCCTGGCCTCCATGAAGGTGGCAGGGAGTCAAGTCTTTGGGCCATTATCCACTGCCTTCCTAGTCATGTTATCAGGAAGTTGGATTGGAAGCAGAGCAGCTGGGACTCCAAGCAGAGCTTGAAACATGGGAAGGCTGCATTGCAAATAGTTGCTTAACCTACTGAACCATAATGCTGGGCCCCTGGTCAAACCTGTTGCCTGATACACTCACAGAGAATGAATACTGTGACAGGACAATTCATCATCATGTCACATAGTCAACAGGGATTGAAACCTTAAAGCCACCAGTCTTCCTTCCTTTCCTCATATCCATCTCTACTCTGGGACCTCAAAGCAATGTTCCAATATTTTTATTCATTCTCTCCAGAAATCTATGATAGACTAACCCTCAAGATTGACTTTGAGGAAACAGTATAGTGATGTAGTGGGTAAGGCTGCCTTCTAGAATACTGGTATCCTAACTGGGTTCCAGTTTGAGTCCCAGCTGTTTCACTTGTGATCCAGCTCCCTGCTTGCGGCCTGGGAACGCAGCGCAGGCTGGCCCAAAGCCTTGGGACCCTGCTGCCATGTGGGCAACTTGGATGAAGCTCTTGGCTCCTGACTTCAGCCTGGCCTACTTCTGGTGGTTGTGTCCATTTGGAAAGTGAAGCAATATATGGAAAACCTTTTTCTCTCTCCCTATCCCCACAACTCTGTGTTTCAAATAAACAAAGTCTTTTAAAAATAAAAAGACTTGGAGCCACTCTGTTGGCTCAACTAGCTAATCGTCTACCTCCAAGTGCAGGCACCTCATACTGGCGCTGGTTCATGTCCTGGCTGCTCCTCTTCCCATCCAGCTCCCTGCTTTTGGCCTAGGAAAGCAGCAGAAAATGGCCCAAAGCCTGTGACTCTGCACTGTGTGGGAAACTCTTGGCTCCTGACTTTGGCCTAATCCTGTCCTGGATGTGCTGTCACGTGGGGAATGAACCAATGGATGGAAAATCTCTCCTTCTCTCTTACTCTGTGTCTCCTTGCTGCAAATCTGCCTTTCCAAAGAAAACAAATAAATCTTAAAAAAAAAAGGAAAAAAAGATTTTCTTTAAACCTTTAGTAATTAAGAGAATGGTATGGGGACTGATCCAAGGAACAGAGTGCAGAGCCTTTAAAACAGACTGTCTCACAAGTATGGAAAGTTGACAGGGCATATAACATTTCAAAACATTGGAGAAAGGCCAGGGTATCTAACCAATAGCACTAAAATGGCCCATATGGAAAATTATAAAATCAGATCTACTTCACATGACACAGGAAAAAAAAACAATTCCAGGTAGATTAATGATATAAATAAGGAAGGAAATCTTTGCAACTTGCAGAATAAAGACAATGTCTTTATGATTTGTTGTAAGAATGGGAGTATCTTCAACTTAATTAAGTTTAAAAATATGTGTATTTTGACACAGTGTATATAAATTGAAAAGACAAGCCACAGACTAGGAAAATATTTTTCAATGCAAATAATCAATAAATGACAATCTAAGGGATTCTGATCTGGATGTCATCGCCTTTTGGATTTTTTTCTCCCTACACTTGCTCTGCTGGGTCACATGGGCTCAGGGCCTTTGTACTTGCTATTCATCCTGCCTGACTTCTCACCTCCTTCAGGCCTTTGTGTAAATGCCATTTTATCAGTGAGGGACTCCTAGAAGACTTTATTTAAAATTGCAATTCCTTACACCACGCTATGCATACATGTTCTCTATGTGTCTCCCAGCCACTTTAAAAAACATATTTATTTATTTATTTATTTATTTTAAAATCCGAGTTAGAGAAAGAGAGAGAGAAAGCTTTCATCAGCTAATTCCCTAAATGGCCACAATGGCCAGAGCTGAGCCAATCTGAAGCTAGCGGTCAGGAACTTCTTCCAGGTCTTCCACATGGATGCAGGGTCCCAAGGACTTGAGTCATCCTCTTCTGCTTTCCCAGGCCATAATCAGGGAATTGAATGGGAAGTGGAACAGCCAGGACTCGAACTGGCACCCATATGAGATGCTGGAGTCACAAGCAGAGGATTATTTTGCTATGCCATCTTGCCAGCCTCTCCCATTCATTTTTGTTAAAGAATTTATCACAATTAGGGCCTGGCACGGTGGCCTAGTGGCTAAAGTCCTCACCCCGAAAGCGCCAGGATTCCATAGGGGTGCTGGTTCTAATCCCAGCAGCCCTGCCTCCCATCCAGCTCCCTGCTTGTGGCCTGGGAAAGCAGTCAAGAATGACCAAAAGTCTTGGGACTCTGCACCTGCATGTAAGACCCAGAGGAAGTTCCTGGCTCCTGGCTTCAAATTGGCTCAGCTCCAGCCATCGCAGCTGCTTGAGGAGTTAATCATTGGATGGAAGATCTTCTCTGTGTCTCCTCCTCTTTGTATATCTGACTTTGTAATAAAATAAATAATTCTTTAAAAAATTAATTCATCACGATTCACCACACATATATTGTACTTACTAATATCTATTTGTTTGCATTTCATTTGAAAAGAGGAGAGAGAGAGAGAGAGAGAGAGAGAGAAAATCTTCCACTTGCTGATTTCCTGCCCAAATGCCTGCAACAGCCAAGGCTGGGCCAGGTGAAAGGTGGGAACTGGAAACTCCATCAGTGTCTTCCACATGGGTGGCAGAAAGAGAATTTCTTGAAGTTTACCTGCTCCCTACCGGTATGCAAATAAGCGGGAAGCTGGACAGGAAGCAGAGGAGCAGGGACTTGGACCAAACGCTCTGATATTGGATGTGAGCATTCAAGCATCATTCTACACGTGATCTTAGCGAGAAGCGATCCAAGCATCATTCTAACTGCTGCACCAGCACTGCCCATGCCCCACCATTCTGTACCTATCAATTTTGTGTGTGTGTGAATTTTCCCTTATTACAATTCAAATTCCATGAAGGCAAGTGGGATTGTGTTGTTGTTGTTGTTTTGGTTTTCTATTTTGTTCACAGGTATATTAGCAGCACCAAGAACCATTCCTGGAGCAAAGAAGCTATTAGAAAAGGCTTCATTAGGTGAATGGATTAGCATGGAGGATGATAAGAACTCCCATAAGTAAGAAAAAGAAACTTTGTAGAAAATTTGACAAAATGCATAAAAAAGTCATTCATAGTCAAGGAAACACAAATGGCAGATGAAACATGAAAAGATATCTGACTTTATTACTATTCAGGAAAACTGAAAAATAAAACCGTGAGATATCATTTCTATTGGTTTGGCAGAA